CTGGACTGGTTCAGCTCTGATGTAGTTGAGGGAAGGTTCTTTCTAAGTGGCTGTAGAAATCCAAAATTTTCAAAACTGTCCTAGACTCCACTGGAAACCTCCTGAAAAGGACTTGTAGTGCAAAATATTCTTACTTGAACCCATAGTGCCCTCATTCTGGCTGCACCCCATACAAGGTTCTGGAGCACTATGCTGGAAGGGATTCAGCCTGGCAGCTAAACAGGAATGGACTGTTGATACACCTTCTGTTAGTGACCTTGTATCCCACTGCACTCTAAATTTTTCCTGAAGAGGCTAGTAACATGTGGGCACTGCTCCTCTGCTGTGGTCACTGTGGCAGAGCAGAGCCGCTACATCCCACTCAGGGTGCTGTTATGTAGTGCTGGGCCAGGAAGGGCATCCATGACTTAGGCTCCTACTTCAGGGTACCTTGTTAGCAGCCTTTCTGGAGAGGGGAGGAAACACACCTCTCTCTGGAGTGGGCAGATTGAAACCAGGCATTAATATTTGATCATTTGCTGCAGCACATGGATATAAAATGGTTGGGATTAAGAGGCAGTATGTTTCAAAAGAAATTAGTAAGACACATGCATTTAATGTTTATGGTTTGGAGATTAAGACATCAGGCTGGAATTTGGGACATCTGGGTTAAATCCCAGCTCTGTCAAAGACTTCTCAGAACATGCTGGGCAGGTCATGTAAGGTAATACTTTGAGAAAGGACTCAGGATTTGGGAGCTTAAATCCAATTGACTTCCAGTAACTCCCTAAGTGTTTAAGGGACAGAATTGACAAAAAATACTGAGGCATTTTGATGCTTGGCATCGTGGCATAAGCTGGTGTGTGCCACAGACGTTGGGCAGAGCAGTGTGTGCTTTGGGAAGGCACTTCAGAATCTGAGGGGGCCTGTAGGTGACAACTGGGGACTCCTGGAAAGCGTGGGTTTGTGCTGCGTGCATCATACAATGGCACTCTGGGCTTAATGATGGTTTCTAGGTGCAACCTCAGCACAAATACATACTAATAAGTGCCTAAGTAGATAGATCCTGTAAGAGCTTTCATGTCAGCTCCCTGAGGTATGAATACTAATACCAACAATGGTGAAAAGTTTTTGCATACTGAAAATTAAACAAGCTTGGTTCTTTCGAATTAAGCAGTCAGGGCTGTGTTTCCAGAGTGCAGTGGCTCATTTGCTGGTGGAGCACGTGCCCGTGGGGAGCCGGCTGCCTGGAAGGGAGGCTGGGGGGGAAACCGCGGCGTGCGGGGACACCGCTCGCCTCTGCGGCTCTAAGGCTGGCCTGCTGCTTTGAAAGGGTAGCCCTGGAGTTCCTTTCCTCTCTTTTGAACTTTGACTAAACCTGTCTGGAAACTGTTTGTTTCATCTCCTGACAGGATTACAGATGATAACTGCCAGTTTGATAAGGCCCTTTGAGACCAGCTGTGGCCTGAAAGAAGTTTGAGAATCCCTTAAGTACCATGGCAGGTGGACTCCAAGACTGTCCCAGACCTTTGCTTGCTAATTATCCATCCTAGAGATGATCAAGTTCTTGTTAAGGGTGCTTATTAGCTGGGTGTCTGTGGGCAGGAGGAGTGTGCAGCCTGCTCCAAGAACTCCCTGCCTGCATGGAATGGGTGCAGCTGCCTTCCTTGGGAAGGATCTCACTCTCCAGCAAGCAGCATGGGAGCCTGGCTCACCTCTGCTTCCATTTCATACTGCTTCTCACTCGCTTCTGCCTGTCTGGGACACACAGCTTGCATCAGAGGCACTGGCTGCCTCTGGCAAGCTGCAAAAGGACAATTTCATAATGAATGAGGGTGATTTACTAAGTGGGGGGTCCTGGAGCCCAGCTGTAATTGTGCTGCTGCTTTATCTCAGCCTCACACCTGCTCTTATAATGGCCCGGCTGTGATCTGCTCCCTCCCCCCTGAGCACGCTCTACCCTGCTGCTCCTGGAGAAACCATCAATTCTCTGTCCCCGTTGCAGTCCCTGGCCTCGCTGCCCCTGCCTGCAGCCACTGGGAGCAAATGCCCTCCTGAACTGCAGCAGGGCAACTAGGCTGGCTCTAAAGGGTGTGACTGCTAACCTGGCTTTCATGACCCAAGTAACAAGGTTTTAAATGAAATCCTTCTGCCCAAAAGAACTCCTAGAGAGAGATTTCTTCAGATGATGTTTCCTTAGAAAATATTCTGCCAGAGGCAATATGTGTAGCATTTTTTTTTCCCCACTGCATGGATTCAGTACTGGTGAAAATGTTTGGATTGACTGTGTAGGCAATTAAAAGCTTTTGAAATCCAGAGCAGATGACAGAATTTTATCCAATTTATGTGTTGTCTTACTATAAAGTACCTTACTGGATTCAGCCCAGTGAACTCCCAGTTCTGTGCTTTAGCTTTTGGAGGATGCTGCCACCCTTATGACACTTAGACTAGTGATATTGGGTGTTACTCTGTAAAGGGAACATCCCTTTAATATGAGGATGTAGGGTGGTGAGAGAGTTGAGGAAAGCCTCAGCTTGACCTCATGTAGCAAGTTCTCTATTTGCATTTTTTTCTTCCTTATGTGATCTCATAGCCCAACCTGCTCCTTCCTACCTTAAGTCTATTTCCTCTCTTCAGCTGATAGAAAAATTTCATATAAAGGCAAAAGTCCCTGTCTTGAACTCATGTCCCCTGAGTCACCTGTCATCCTCTTGATGCTTGTGTATTTATACTAATCTGAAATGAGAATCTCAAAATCCAGAAGTGAGAAAGAAAAGAAAGGAGGGGGGAGGAAGGAAGAGAAAAAACCCTTTTTTTCCTTGAGACACGAATGTCAATAGGTTTGAATTATGGACCTGCTGTAATTAAAAAACACATAACTAGCTGTTTTTAAATGCAGTTGTTTTACTTAATTGATTTTGCTGCCAGGACCAAAGGGAATTAAATAAATAAATAAAATACGCCTTCTTAGTGAATTAGTGGAGGCAGCTGAGTCTCTGTTGGAATCTAATTGCTGCAAATACTCTAGTTTGTTGCTAGCAATAGTTTTCTGTGGAAGGGGCTGGGAGAGAAGGGGTGGTGTGGGAGGGGGCTCATTCCCTGGCAGCTGCAGGAGGGAACAGGCTGCTCCTTGTATACTGTTTTTCTTCCTTGTCAGCGAAAAGAATATTCGTTTAATGCTTCGCATGAAGACTTTGCTTAGAAGGTCTTTATTCATATTTAATTACTAGCTTGCTGCATCTCCCATCTTTAATTACCTTTTTAAAAGCAGGTTACAAAAATGCACTGACATTCTTTCTTTTTGGTTACTGCATAAATTACAGGCCTCTCAGCTGCTCACCTGAAATCAGTCCAGCCTGGGGGAAAGGTGGGACAGGTTCACTTTGTTGGTTTTGGGATACCTCAGACCTTGTTTGCACCTTGCTCTACCGAGCAGGACAGAAACCCTCAACTGGCATTAGAAGAACCAGCTCTGTGCCTGAAGCCACGTCACCATGCTGGCACTCCCTCAGAGCCACTCCACTGCATGGAGTGAGCTGGTGAGGCAGCCAGGCTGGTAGCACACTGCCATGGCAATGGTGTTCTCAGGGCCCAAGGTGCCTAGTGCTGCTCTGAGGGTCTCCAGCAGAGTGCTGTACTATGCAGAGCAGACGGGCCTTGGCCTTACCCCATTGCCTCGCCCTGTCTATCTAGGTTTTTGCTTCCTGAACATCCCTCCCCTCATGAATACACTTCATCTGCAACTTTCCTTACAGCCTAGTCTGAAGTTTCACAGACAGAGCTGCTGCTCGTTTCCTCTCTTGCCTGGAAAGTGCTTTGCTGTCCCTACCTGCAGGTCTCTGAGTTCAGAGCCCTGGTTACGTTTATTGGAGGAGGGAGAAAGTCCATCACCTTGTTTTTGTTTATCTGGTTGTTCTAACATTCAATAACATCTAATAAAATAAAATATTATTAATTAATTAATTAATAAAATCTAGTATGAATGCTAATAGAAAGTACACAAGGTTATACTCAGCCAGTGTAGTGGTGGTGAGCTGTGCGTCCCCAAGCAGTGAATGCTGGACATCAAGCACTGCAAGTGCCGCAGCTCCAGTGAAAACAGCAAACAGGAGAGCAGGCCTTGGAAGCAGAGTGCCAGGCACCACCCTCCAGGGATGGTGGCCATCATGAGAAGGGGCTGTTGTCAGAAAACTTCCTAATTTAAAGTGAGTGTGATGTTCAGGGTGGGAAGTATTTCTGTTGGCAAACTTTCTTCTGTTGACAGGTCAGCTGCCCTGGCTTTCGCTCTGCCATGCTTTAGCCCTTAGCTAACTTGAAACTGCTAAAGACCTTGATCACTCTAGAGACCCACATACTATGGCTGGCCACAGGTGAGAACAAAGTGTCTCATTAACTTTGTTCTTGCCACATTGTGTGCCACAGTCTTTTAAAAAAAAAAAGGCTTTCTGGAGGGGAAAATTGTTTTTATGATTGTATCCCAGTGAAGCCAGGACACATAAATCGTGTTCATGGCGAGTTGTCAGGGGTGCAAACTACAGTTTTCGTCCCCCTGCCCTGAATCCAGCCCTTACCACAACTCCTGGTCACATGCTGGCTTTTGCAGAGTGAGCTGCTGTGGTGCAGCAGTGTATGGAACAGGCACTGTCAGGTTTCAGGGGGTGACGGTTGGTACTATTAAATATCTCTGAAAGAAATATATTCAAAGGGACAGCTGTTGGCTTGTGCAGCCAGCAACAACCAAAGATGCTGACTATAGTTGCTCCAACCTGTTTTCAGGACAGCCCAGAGGGATCCTTCACGTGGTCACTGGCCACTCCATGTCCTAGATGAAATGTGCTGCTGGGGCTCTGCCCCAGGTTTCCAGGCTTCACTGGGAGGCCACGCAGTAACAAGGGACAGAGGAAGGATGCAAGGGCTGAGCTTGCCCAGCTTTGGCACACGCTGTCTCTGGCCTGTGGGCAGAGCCTTCCTTAGGATACTCTGGCACCTCAAGCTGATGTTTCTTTCTCTTTTCCCGGCAGATAAAAGAGCTCTTCCTGAGTTTTGAGGACACTCCCTTGGGAGCAGCATCGCTGGCCCAGGTGCACAAGGCAGTGCTGCAGGATGGGAGAACGGTGGCAGTGAAAATCCAGCACCCAAAGGTCCAAGCTCAGAGCTCCAAGGATATTTTGCTTATGGAGGTAAAACTACATGCTGTCTGTGACTTACAGATATAACAACACCATCCTGTAGCTTTGAAACCTTCACAGAGATAGAATCATAGAATCCTTTAGGTTGGAAAAGCCCTTTAAGATCATCAAGTCCACCCATCAAGCCAACACTACTAAGTCCTCTGCTAAAACAGATCAGAATCTGTCAGGGTTGGAAGGGACCACAAGGATCACTCAGTTCCATCCCCTCTGCCATGAGCAGGGACACCTCCCACTAGATCAGGCTGCCCAGAGCCTCATCCAGCCTGGCCTTCAAGACCCCCAGGGATGGGGCCTCAACCACCTCCCTGGGCAACCCATTCCAGGGTCTCACCACTCTCATGGGGAAGAACTTCTTCCTCACATCCAGTAGGAATCTACCCACTTCCAGCTTTGCCCCATTCCCCCTAGTCCTGTTGTTACCCGATAGCCTAAAAAAGTCCCTCCCCAGCTTTCTTGTAGGCCCCCCTAAGATACTGGAAGGCCAATGATAAATGCTGTCTTAAAGAAATAATACAGAAAGTTGGTGAGGATTGTAGTGCAGGTGTTTGTGTGGGTGGTGAGACTGAACAGGAGGGATAGAGTGAAGGAGGTCAGAAGGAGAAGACAGGTAAACATGAATGGCATCAGAGTAAGTCCATATGAGATTTAAGAACTAGTGAGTCCTGCAATTTCTCTTCAGCCTGTGTGCTTGTTAACTGGTTGATTAAACTGGTCTCAGTTTCCCTTGCAGTCAGGGCTCTGTGACCAAGGAAAAATCATTTTCCATGAATAGGATGTTTCTTTGAGTCAAGTTCCAGTGTGGATTCAACAGTGGCTGAGGTTGTTGTGGTTCAGTTTTGTTTCTTGATCAGTTCCTTACTGCTGATCTAATTCATGCTGGAAGCAAAACCACTGAAATAAGAAGGTCACCTAATGGGCAGACACACAAATGAGGGATTCAGCTAGGAAAAAAATTTCAGTATCTGCCTTCTGTTCCTTTCCTGAATGGTGGGTACCACTCATGTTCTCAGTGCAGTGCTGTAGCTTTTCTCAAACTTCTAAGTCTAGCACATTGAAGGGTGGAACTGGAGAAAAGCTGCGGCACTGCATTGCCATCATCAAAGATGCCAGCAGTATGGTAGGAAGAGGAAATGGAGGTGGGGCTCAAGGGGAGGCAAGGGGAAGGATTAGGTCTGTAAATAGTAATACTAAAGCTTTCAGCTCTCCTAATACGTATATAGCAGTATGTTTAGCACAGTAATGCACACATCCATTGGTAGACAGGTATGTTCGTGGAACTAAGGAGAGGAAGATTAAGCTGTGGGGGTCTAATAAATGTTTCGAGGGTACTGATGATGCAGTGACACATGGGTCTCCATCACAGGAGATCAGGATTCAAAGATCCTGTCAGCACCGTCTCAGAGGAGCACATAACTAAAGCTTCTTTAGGCAGCTAAAACACCCTGCTCTCAACAGTCCTGGCTGGTCTGTAAAGAAGCACGACTGGTTCCAGCTGGAGCACATCAGTTTGCAACTGAATATTTATTTTGAACTATTTGTGAAAGAAAATCTGAGGATCAGCAAAGATATCGTAGCAAGATGTGATATGTCTTTCAGTGCTGGTTTGAGAACAAAGAACTGTTTGAACTGTTCAGTCCAGATGTAGATTTGGGTTTGATTCAGGTCCTCTCTAGGACTGACTGCAGAGATCTGCCTGAAGAGTTTGCTTTTGTGAGTCATCACATGTGCAGCAGTTATCGGGGGCTTTATGGCTTCCTTCACTCCTGCCCAGAACAGGATGACAGAAACTAATCAGTCAAGGAAGAAGGGTGATCAGGTACTGAAAGACTGTGAGACCAGGGCAAATTGAGGACTGTGTATGAATGAGCCAAGACCTTGGGACATTTGCTGTTTTGCACTATATTCCTGTGGTTGCTGGCTATACTGGCAAGAGACATTTAAACAAATAATTTAGGAATTATTCCTATCTTGTCTTTTTTGAAACTAATCCTCCTGGGAAACTTGAAGCTGGAACAGTGTATTTGTTTCTGGCAATTTAGTATTGTCTTTTCTCTACAGATAGTCTAGTTTGTCATCCTTGAGATCTGTTGTGTACACACAGCAGTGGGAGAGTAGCTCACAACATGACACAGGCAGTCTTGGTTTTGAAGGGTCTCTCATGGAGTGTTGGCTTACATGCATCATCCTTATCCTTGTGTGGGACTACTTTTGTATAGGCTGCACTGAAAGCCAGAGGATTTGCACTGAGGTTCTGATTCTTTAAGAATCAGACAGACATTGCAGCTAGATAGAAGGCTGATTTAAATATCGGTGGAGATGGTCTTATTTAGAGACTGATGGAAGGAATTTGAATGGGAAAAACTAGAGGGAAAATTCCTAAATTTGTTTGAGGTTTCACAGCATCAGTGCTCTTTAAAAATCAGTACAGCCTCTGATAAATCCAGGGAGAGATACCTCACTTAATACTTATTTCAAGACAATACATTAGACAGATGTCAGAGAAGCGACATGCCAAATACTTACGTGTGTCCCTGCTGATGGTCAAGCTGGCAAATTGATGCAGAAGAGCTTTTAAAGAAAGCAATAAACACTGCTTGATTTTTCTCACATTAGGCACCAAAGATATAATCATGCAGCCCCTATAAAGTTTATGCACACGCTCATGAAGATCACTGGTTACATTTCTGTTGGATGACATAAATTTGAAAGGATTTATGCCTCTAGATATAACAGCAGAAAAATCATTCAACAGTGTCTGGAACCTGGTGATTACCTTTTTAAAGGAACATTGAGTTTGGAACTTACATTTAGGTAAAAGAAGTAGAGACGGGGTGGAGAACAAATGTTTCCACACAGCTGAACAGGAGCAGTGATGGTTCATAGATTTATTTTTTGTCATACAGTTCAATGATAGCAGCTTTCTGTGTGTGCTTTAAATGTTCCTCTTGCAGTGCAGGAATTCCCACCTCAACTGTGGAGATCTAGAAAGGGAAACTGTCCAGGAATACACACTGACATGTCTGTTTTCATTTTCAGATGGATGTATAGAACAAGTAAGATAAAGACAACAAAGTGGCTTGCATTTTTACAGTTTATTCTTGTTTTATGGCTCAAATAGTTAAAAAAAAAAAAAATATTCTTAGGATGTGGTCCCAGTTGTGAGCTTGTGTAAATTTGTTACAGTGGTTGAGAAACTGGTCTTTCATTTGAACAGAAAGCATGCTTGGCTACTGTGCAGCTTTGAGTATGCTACCCAACTACATAATCTCTATTTTCTTCAGGGTGACTGCCCATCACTTGCTCCTTAAATGTTGCTGAGGAAAAAAAAATTGGACGCTGAGGAGCAACTTGCTCTCTGACCCCCACTAGAAGTGTCCTTTCAAGATCTGTAGCCTACTACCTGTATCCAAACGCCACAGTCTTCTCTGAACTGCCCAGTGGGGTTTTTTTCTGCTAGCAAAATTCTTGCTCAGCAGTGGAAGAAGTAACGTGGAGGTGACAAGTCTTACTTTAGGTCTTCCTCTTCTGCATTATCTGAGGGCTGTTTGAATGAAGCCGAACAGTGACATGTAGAATTATAGGACTCAGAAGAGAGTTGCTCCTAAGGCATGAAACCCTACAGGCACTTGGGGAGCAGGTTGGGTTTTTTTCGTCTGTAAGTTACATGGAGTGATCCTATCAAAACAGCACTTTGTGTGTCTGCATGGCTTTGGAGCCAGGATGCAGCTGATTGTTTCCTTGTTCTCAGGTTCTCCTCTTGGTTGTGAAGCAGATCTTTCCAGATTTTGAGTTCATGTGGCTGGTGGAAGAAGCTAAGAAGAATCTGCCCTTAGAGCTGAATTTCCTCAATGAAGGCAGAAATGCTGAGAAGGTTGCCCATATGCTCAAGAATTTTGACTTCCTGAAGGTGAGGGGGCATCTATTTCCATGTATGTATGTGCATTAATATGCTAACTTTGTGTCTTGTGCACCTCATTCACTACCTGGCCATGAACCCTCCTTGCCTGTTTCCTACTGTAGGTACCATGTGTTTGATGAGGAGTGATGTATTGAGGCCAGTGGTCTCTGAAGCCTGCTACTTGTTTTCCCAAACACTGTTTCTGAACTTGTCCAGAGACCTGTGAATTTGCCATTCTTTGCTGAGCCATCTGATGGTACTTTTTCCTAGGCTTTATCTCAGCTGAGGGCAAGAAATGGCCATGAAACAGAAAAGCTAGACTGAAGTTGATGATGTCAAGGAGGGTTGGGGACACCATGTATCTCAGGGGGAAGCATGGTTGCTTGAATCCTTCCTTCTGCAAGAAAGCACATTTTCACTCAAGAGTGGAGCCCACATCCTGCACACACATCCATGGCTCACGCATTCGTGTTACCCTCATACACAAACTCAGCTGCACCCATATTGTGCTATTCCCTACTGACACTCTTATCTCACCTCCCCTGCTACACACTGACTAAGGTCTCTGACAGATGTCTGAAGTACAACCAAACATCTGCCAGTCTGGTTCTTGGAAAGTTATAAACTCAGGCCTTCAGGCTTATGCATGCACAAATCTTTTGCTGACATACAAAGGCCCACTGTACTTGCGCACACACAAAGGCAGCAAAAAAACACACCTTCCTTTGGATCCTCCTGCATACACATGTCAAAAAAAGGTTTTCACCTACTATTCATGCAGAAGTCCCAAGATGTAAGTGTCAGACGTCTGAAATGAGGTGAGTTTTTGTTAGATTACAGGCTGATGCCTCTGTTTTTAGCTTGCTTCCTCTATGCAAGGACTGTAATTACTTGTCATCTGACTCGAGTTTTGGGGCAGTCCTCTTGGAGCCCAGTGATAGCACTAATCTTCCCATAGACACAGAGCTAAAAGACACCAGGGCTATAGAAGACCAAAGGCCAATGGTTTTGCTGAGTGGGCACTTATCTGAAGTGATGCACCTTGGGAAGCTGTATCTGTTGCAGCTGTAACTAGGATACTGTGAAGTAAATCCCCATGGAGACAGCCAGTCACCTCCTTGTTGGGTTAAGGAGCTATCATGGCATCAATATATGTAACAGTAACAAATGGCTTGAGATGGCTAAATAATTGATCCTCCTGTCTGACCTGCCAATTCAGAGACGTGTTCATCACCCAAAGGCAACATAAGAATTGGGCTCCTCTATCATTAATTTTCCTAAACACCCTAGAAAACTGAGACGTAGATTTTGTGCTATGAACCTTGTTTGAGCTTTTAAAGCCAGAGATAAATTGTTTCCATGCACTAGCATTACAGCCAAACATCTCTGAGTAATTAAAAAAAAAAAAACTGAAGAATTTGGCTGTGAGTGAGAGAGGCATCTCTGAGAGCATGGGTAGTGCTTTGCAAGCCCACAGACTTGCCCCTGTAAATCTTGACACAAGAATGAGTGTCATCTGAAATGATCTAAGGCAGCAGGGATCAGTGAGCTAGATGGTTTGGAGAGCTCCCTGTTTTGGAGTTGATTTGCTTTCTCACCAATCTAACCACAGAGAATGGACATCCAGATAATCTTGAAGGCTGCGAATAACTGAATCCCCCTTGCCCACAGTGATCTCTGGCATCAAAGTCTACACAAGGTTAACATGCAAAGTATGCCAGGAGTTTTGAATGATGGGTCTGAGGGACATTGGAATAGCTCAGCAAAGGAATCTTTGATCTAAAGGGACACAGGCATGGTGAGGTAGAAGTGGAAAACATTGGGAAAGTGACCTTTCTAGAACAGGAAGAGTGGTGGAGAAAGATAGTTTGTGACACTGTCAGTAACAAGCAGAGTATAAAACAAATGCTGCCTCTTCAGGAGCTACAATGAGCTACAGTGGCCTGGCTGGTTCCTCTGGCTTGGATCACACTAGGTGGACAATACCTCTTACCTCTTCCTGTCCTGCCCCACAGTGCTGGACCCTTACTGTGTGGGAGTCCTGAGTCCACATCCGAGTCAGACAGGTGCTGCACAGCTGGCACTCTCTTTACAGGTTCTAAAATGTGTATCTCTGTTCTGGGGCACAGTAATGGGAATGGGTGGAACTCCCTTGGAGATCTTAGGTAAAATGTACCTGTGTGGCTTCACCCATGTGCAAAGGCATATCTGCACAGCTTGAGAGACTGTTCAGCTCAGTGATGTGAGAAACATCCAAAAAGAACTTTAGCAAAAGGACTCTTGACAGTAGGGACTTCAGCATGGAAAGAATTTGGCTGGAGAGACAGGCTGGAACAGGGGCGGCAGGCTGAGCGATGCCTGCGTCACTGCCTCCCTGGGTGACACCAGGCCTCTTACTGGAACCTCACTCAGCTTGATTTACTGTAGATTGAATGAAAAGTGCTTTGACATTTTACACTTGTTACTGTGTCATGTTGGCAATAAGATAGTTAAGGGTCTCCCAGGGTTTCTATGACAAGCCCCTTATTTGTGACACTTGATTTTTCTCCCAGTTCAATTGCAGATGGCCTAGTTATGCCAGGTTTGTCAGCTCAAAGGCATTTGTGTTCCAAGGGGCACTGCAGAGATGCAATTTATGACGATGGCTTATCATTTTTAGAGTAAGTGGACCCTGTGTATAGTAGAGATGCAGTTCCCTTCTCAAGGAGCCCAGTGTATGATTCAGAAACTTGCAATAGGTACTAGTTAAACAGACCAGCTAGAGGAGCTGCAGTGCAGATAAGAAAGCTCTCGGACATCAGTGGGACGTGGTCAAAATCTTGTAGAGTGGTAGAGTGTGGCCAGAAATGTTGCATGAGGACAGATCCTGCTGCTGATGAATTGGAGTGTTGACTTTGCATATGTGACTGGTGTCCTGGGGAAGAGGCTGGTAGATGGATTCACCTCCCTTTTGTTCAGGAAAAAAAGAAGTCCTCACTTCAGCCTTTTCAATTTTTACACCTTTTCTGGGTTGTGTGTGATATATTCTCCTTGCTTTCCCAGCTTGTTTTCTTACCGAACTCAACTGTTCTTGTTTCAGGTCCCCAGGATCTACTGGGAGCTCTCAACAAGACGTGTCCTTCTCATGGAGTTTATGGAAGGGGGACAGGTGAACGACAGGGCCTACATGGAGAGGAATGGCATCAATGTCAATGAGGTAGTTTCTCGGCCATCTCTGGATTTGGCACGTTGAGCAATGCCAAGTTGATGTTACATCAGCTGAAGTTGCTGCAAAATCGAAGCTGACAGGACAGAACAGGGCAGAAAAGGGAGCACATACAGATGTGAACAGAGCAATCAATCTGAGACATCTTGGTTCTTGTGCTTTCTGGGAAGAGTACAAGCCCCTTTGGGGAACACTTTGCTATAGACTGCACAGCTAGAGAGATCTTCAAGGAGGCAGACAGTGAAAGATGACCATAGTCTCATATTACATACATACATGGTTTGTGCTAAGGTGGCAATTCCTGTTATCCTAAAGGAACAACTTCAGCTTCTGATTCTTTCTGTCTCTCTTCTTTCCCTCTCTTTCTTCTGCGTTAACTTTCTCCTGGACAAATGCATGGAATGCAACTTTTATATCCCAACAGCTATCAGCTTATGCAGGAGTTGTAAACCGTAGGTCTTGTATGGTCACAGTTTTTAGAGTGCTGGAGCCTCAGCCATTGTGCTTTGCATAATATTCTGACATAGGTTGTTTTCTTTTGCTTCCCAAGATCTTTCTTTTTTCTTCTGGATGCAACAGTTTTCTTCTTTGCTTCCTGGTCCTACATTATCGTGTAGCTTTGCAGTCCTTCATTAAACAGCTGCCAGATTTCATCCCTACAGGGAGGCTACATTTCGCCACTAAGTGCTACAGTTTGTATGTGTGTCAAAAGTCAGGAGAGCACTTTGGATGCTCTGTAGCTGAGAGATTCTTGAGGAAAGTATGGTATTGCTTCCCAGAGGGACTGAGAAGATGGCAGGGAAAAGGGTTTTCAGCCATTGGACAGCGTGTCAAGCCACTCCTCCCAGTCAGTGAGTGCTGATCGAGGCACTGCTGCTTGCTTTTTCCTTTGTTCCCTATCAATGAGCCTCAAAGCTGCACTTGGTTGACTGGCTATCAAAGAGCTACGGCATAAAATCAATTGTACTTAATCTGTCCATCCACTTACCTCTGAAATTTGAACTCTTCCTCTCTCTCTGCTCTTCCTTGTCTGCTCCCTTTCTCTCCATGGCAGAGTTCATGGGGCATCAGTTAGAGACATGCCAAAGACCTCTCAGTGGAGGGGAAATGTGAGTTTGGTATGGCCAACAAAGGGAGAGAACATTTACTGTATGTTTTCAGCTCTCTCCCCAAGTCAGCATGCAGCTTTTTCTCTGCCTAAAATGCTCAGCCAAATTACAGGTGGAGGTCTCAGTAACCTGCCTGTTTCTCTTCACCTCTTCCTCTGGTTTTGCACCTTGCAGAAGTCAATGAGATATTTTCTTGTAACCTTTGTAGGCAGAATGGCAGGCACCTTTTCATGTGTATCTCCACTGAAATACAGGGAAGGAAGGTCTAATGTTAAAGTAGATTTTGAGACTGTCATTCCATTGTAACTGTGATAAACAAGCCAAGGACAAGGGGTAACAGTGAATGATGCTCTCTTCTCTGCAAGATGTCTGGTCCATTTTCATTCAAAGGATTTCTTAAATGAATACAACCTCACGCGTAGATAGTGCAGTCTCTCTCCTTTCATGACTCTATCAGGAAAGATTTGAAGCATTTGTGTCTTTGATTTTCCTCCTCCATCTCATCAGGGCATCACAAAAGTCGTTGTCAGCTGATCAGAGGTAGACACAATACCTTCTTGGTGTCTATTTTGTATTGAAGTGTAAGTTTTGTGTGGTGGTGTTCTTTGTATTTACCAAGGTAAGTGCCTCAATGCTGCAGCTGGTCTGCAAAGAGCACCATAATGTGCCTCCTGAGAACACGGTAACTCATGGACTTTTCTGTCAAGAGCACATGCAGTCGGCTCCATTCACCCGGACAAGTCAGTTGGTCAAAAGAAATGGAGTCAGTTCTTTGGATGAGTTTATCCTATCCTTTTCTTCTGCTATAAAGGCAAAGGTCAAATGTAGCCCACGGCACTCGGATACAACAGTGGATATTCCTCAAGTCTGGAAATAGGCTTGTTTTGATGCATTAGCAGAACTCTTGAGCAATATGTACATTTAGATTTTGAGCAGGGCTTCCTCACAGTTCTTGGACAGCAGATACCTTCTGAGATCAAGATAGCTAGCATAGTGTAGCTGCCTGGGACTTTGGTGGCTTCTTTGAATTTTCTGAAACTGCTGGAGATAGCAAAGTTGTCTAGTGAAGCTCAGGGAAAAACATCCTTTACCATCTTCTATAGCTTTTTCTAGCTAGTCAAGGTGGAAAATTCAATGACTTCAGCCTTTCATTGGGATATTTTGGTGCAAGAATGTGCCAAAGTAAAGTAGAGAAGCAGCTCTTTCCAGTTTTTATAACTTGCAGAGGCTTTTTCTTGAGACAGGAGAGATTTGGGGTGAAAATTCAGCTCTTTTTTTTGTTCATCTGTGCCTGTGGGAAGATCGTTTTGTGACGTCTTGGCACAATAGGTTCCATGTAGCACTGAAACCACATATTTTGCTGATTCTGAACTGATCTCTAAACAATGACGAAGGTGTAATTTTTAAAAAGTTGTCAACAGACTTCTACTACTACAAAGCATAAGCCTCAGAGGTTCCTGCCAATCTTTTAGGTGTAGGATGTTGCTCAGCTCACTGGTAGTTCTGAGTTTCTGCAAACTCTTTCGGTGCCTGGGCTGAGCTGTTCTTTCTTCCTTTTTTCTCCCCACCACCCAGAATTAATGATTAACTTTACTGATTGCCAATAAAGCATCAGTAGGGAGAAGGGAATACCAGAATCATGTGATGGGGAACTAGGTCTGTTATTATGACCACAGTAAGATGAGGTATGAGCAGTGCACACTCCAGACTTCTCCTCCGGCAAGGTGCAACAGATGGGGACGAATATGACCAAGGTCCAGTGTCAGCTACTGCTGTTGATGCCCTAGGTAAAGAACTGCATGGCATGGTGGTGAGGTAAGCAAAAACACTGAAGGGAGCATGAGGAGGGGGTAACAACCAAGGTTTCAAAACTGTGGCATGGTTTATAATATGCAGTTTTGGCTTTCAAGAGATGCATTTTTTCCCTATAAATGACCTGAGTCTATTTATCTATCAATGCCTCTATCATCTTACTCCATTTTATTTTACTGGGTGGAGGAAGAAGAGTCTTCACTAAGCAGGATTTCTTTTGTGTGACAATGCAGCCTTGAAAAGCAAGCTGAGCCTCTCTCCTCTAAATGGAAAGGATCCCTGAGGTGAAAGCTCCCTTCAAACCAGGTTACTGACATTTACTTAATACCGTCTGTAGCAGGATTATCATTAAAGCTGCCCAAAAGCACATTAATCTCTCTGGATCCGTCCAAGCGCTGGATTGTAATGGCATTTAATCAGAGAAGGCTTTGATTTCTAAAGACAAGTGCAAACACTGAAATATCTGCCTGTGGAACAGTCACTTACTCATGTGCAAGTGTAGCTGAGGATGAGCACGCAGCTAGGATATTGACAGTGGGAGGGAAGCTTGGAGAGGCGAGTTATCAAGAAATGAGCTGGCATAAATCTTGAGGGAAGACCAGATCACAGCAGGGTTGAGGGGGATACCTGCAAACTGGACTGTTCCTGTTTCAAGACACAAGAGCATTTACAGACTTGATTGGGAAGATACATTTGGAAAAGGTGTGTAGAGCTGGGAAAGGAGATCAGATAGTCAGAGGGGCTCTCAGGATGTTTCTAGCATATTATATGCAGGAAGGAAGGAAGGATAGCAAGGCTACTTAGAACATGGACTTTTAAAGAAGACCCCAAAATGACACAAATGCTCCTTTTGTGCCCATTCTGATTCTGCCGTGATTCATTTAGAGAGACCTTGTCTGTATATAAATCTTAACATTATCTCTGATCTGCTGCCTGGGTCCTCCCTGTCCCTTCTTGTGGGTGCTCTGCCTGTCTCCACAGAGGCTGCTGGATCAGCAGGCTGTGGGAGCTGTGCACCTATGGCATGTGCTGTATTGCCTCCAACTAACCAGCCAGCTCAGGTAGCCATTGCCCTGGCTTGGACTTCACTCAGGGAAGGGAAACGATGCCATGGACTTGAGCTCACTAAGAGCCTGGTCGTGAGCCATGGATGATTCAGAAGTCAGGAAAGTGTTTTGTCCAACTGAGAAGGGAAAGCAAATGGCTCAGGTACTTAAAATGAGCTATTGTCTGCTATTATTGCCATCTGTCACCCCATCCTACTGTGGCTTTTTGCTTCCTTCTGTTACTAAATGGGTTCTGCATTGGAACAATATTTCTTAGCTTGATAAAGGGTCCAGCTACCTTCTTGTGGTTGACAGCTTTGCAACTTGAAATATGCTTTCAGTGTGGGATTTACCCTTCTGCCAAGAGTCAGGAGCTGCTGACTTGTAGCTGTTAAAATTTAAATGGGACTTCCCAGGGTTGGATCCCTTTGTCAGCGCAAGTGTGGAAGCCTCTCATGTCTCAAGCATTCGTGCTTACAACACTCAAGTGTAGAGATGAAATAGAGTGTGGAGAAGAACACTGTTTCTGGGGAAAATGGCTATTCTTGCTCTTTGTGCCTGCTGATTTAGTCTGGGGAGAGGTTTCTCCTACATTTTCTCTTGTCTGAAACTTAATGAAAATTCACAAGGCACTAATAAGCAAGAGTAGTGACCTTCAGCATTTCCAGCTTTTGAACTGTGCAAAGACGCCAGGTAACAGAGTTAAATTACACACAAACTCATTTCTTACTGAAAGTTAGTCTCAAGTATTGGTGTCAGGCAATTGCTCAAGTCTCAACAGGATGCTTTACATTGAATCCAAGGTAATACAACTACATTTAAAGCCAAGGGAAAATGATCTCCATGGCCATTTTGGGTTGGACAGAGATGCAAGAAGTGGTTAAATAAACAATGAATAGTCTTCTCTACCTCTATCCTTTTGAGAATCCATAGAAACGTATCAAGTTAGTCCCTCTGTTCCCTAGGTGGATGAGTCAGAATATTTCTCCCCACTTAAATGCCATGGAAGATGTGGCATTGAGCA